GGGGGGGGCTGCGGCAGCAACAGAAGAACTGGGAGGATTGGAATACACAGGCGGATTTGTTTGCAACCTGCAGAATGATTGAGTCAGGGGGGAGAAAAGCGTGACGTGAGCCCAAACGAGGAATGTGGGGCCCTTGCTGAGTTTGGGGTGGTGGGTCAAAGCCCGTTCTGCACGGGACCCACGGTGGGCCGCCTCAGCTTGGAAAGGGTCCTGGAGGCCATCCAGCCCAACCCTTTGCTCGGGGCAGAAACCCTCATTGGAGCGTTCTTGGGTCTTTTCCGAATGTGCAACTTTCCCTGCGTGGGTTTGGAAGAGGGCCATCTGTGGGATGCCTGACTCATTTAGGCAGAAGTTCACCAGGCTTGTGCTGGTTGAAGAGATGCGTCACGCTGGCTTAGGGACAGCCTGCCAAACCCAACACATGCAGAGACGCACATACCCTCCCCGTTCTCAGGGATTTCGAGAAACAGAAAGCTGGTTTGATTCCTCTTCGGATGACAGGGAGTCCTCTACTTATGACCACCACTGAGCCCCAAGTTTCCGTTGCTAAGTGAGTTTTGCCCCATTTGCCCCTGCAGTTGTTAAAAGTTAGTAAAAGGGTTGTTTTTACTGAATCCGGCGTCTCCGTTGACTTTGCTTGTCAGAAAGTTAGAGGAGATCATACGATCCCGGCACACGGCAACCGTCATAAACACGAGTCAGTTGCCAAGCATCTGAATTTTGATCGCGTGACCGCGGGAATTCTGCAACGGTCTCGTGTGAAAAATGGCCATAACTCGCTTTTTTCAGCGCTGTTGTAGCTTTGAACGGTCACTAAATGAACTGTTGTAAGTTGAGGGCTACCTGTAGAGAGTTGGAGTAGGACTGGGAAGAGCAGAGGAGAGATTCGGCTTCCGCCGTGGCAGCTCCCTGGCCTACCTTGCAGGGGTGTTACGGGGATAATATAGAAAGGGTTGTTCCGGATTCCCGGGGAAAAAGGCTGGGTCTAAATGGAATTGATAGTGGCAACTTATCCTATACGGGCAGATGATAATTTGGACAGGCCCTTTGTCTGCACCGGTTGCCCAAACGTAAGTTGAAATTAACACGCGTGAACTTCTTATCCACTACACGGGTAGTAAGCCTGGATCTGCGTTTATTCTTGATTGACTGGATGGCGATCCAGCTCTCGTTTGTCAAACGCCAGGCAGGGTCTGCAATGCCCCCTCCTCCTGTTTTTTTTTCTTTTTCTCATAACAACAACTCTGCAAATTCAGTTGGGCCCAGAGAGGGGCTGGTCCAGCGTCTCCAGACGGCTGGCCTACGTGTCTTACGGCCCTCCAGCACGCTAACCACTCCACCATCCTGTCTCTCTGCCCAGCCCCTGGGACAGGCTGATTTCTTCCATGCAAGATGCATGGATCCACGTTTCTTGCGCAAAACGCTGTTGGTTTGGAAGTGGATTCAAAAGCGATGCAAACAGGACCGGGGCTGGCAGTTGTCAGCATGCTTTTAATTCGGCTGCAGCTGCCTGGGAAAGTCAAAAAAGTCAAGATGGCAGCTGCAGCGGTGTAGCTGAAGCCTTGCCTGTTTTTTTTTTATGGGTATCTTCTAGCTTCTTTGCAACACTGACCACCCAGTTTAGTCATCCGGATGGAAAACGGGCCAGCATGTTACCCACAACCCACCTCACAGGGTTGTTTTATGGGAAAATAGGATGATGAAGCATGTTCGCCACCTTGAGTTACTTAATATTATAAAGTAATAAAGGCAGAATAAGGATGGATGGATGGATGATGGATAGATAGGGATTGACGGACAGACGGATGAATGTAGATGGATGGATGGATGGATGATAGATAGGGATTGACGGAGAGACGGATGAATGTGGATGGATGGATGATGGGATGAACACATAAATGACGGATGGATGGATAGAATAGATAGATGACAAGAGATGGATGGATGGATGGATAAAATGAATGTGGCTAGATATAGAGGGATGGATAGAGCAGATAGATGAAGATGGATGGATGGATGGATGGATGGATGACTAGATGGATGACTAGAACAGATAGATAACAAGAGAGATGGATGAATGGATGGATAGATAAGATGAATAGATAAGATGAATGTGACTAGATATGGAGGGATGGATAGAATAGATAGATGAAGAGAGATGGATGGATGGATGACTAGAACAGATAGATACAGATGGATGGATGGATAGATAAGATGAGGAGGGATGGATGGATGGATGACTAGAACAGATAGATGACAAGAGGGATGGATGGATGGATAGATAAGATGAATGTGGCTAGATATGGATGGAGGGATGGATAGAACAGATGGAGGGATGGAGGGATGACTAGAACAGATAGATGACAAGAGAGATGGATGGATGGATGGATAAGATGAATGTGGCTAGATATGGATGGATGGATAGATCAGATATATGACAAGAGATGGGTGGATGGATGGTTGGGTGGATGGATGGATGGGATGGAAAAGTGAATGAGATAGACAGAAGATGTTAGATAAAGATAAATACATAGATAAATAGATGGCTGAGCAGGGTGACAGCAATTTGGTCACTTTCTCGTAGATTCTTCATTCAAGATTTTTTTCTTTGCTGGGCTGTTTTGCAACACACAAGGAGGCTGAAACTAAGAGGTGTGTGTTTGCAAGTATGTGTGTATCCTCACGTGCTTTGGACCCCTGTCCGAGCATGTGTGTCACCACAGAACCAGGCAGCATTTAATTTCTTTCTGATAAACCTTGTTAAAAAGAGGACAATCAGAAATCACTGGGTGGGAACAGGAGAGGGGAGAACGCATCGACAAGTTTGAAAGTGAGGATTGGGATGTTTTAGTCTTCATCCAGATGTTCCATTTCCTTATTTTTGATTCTCCTTCTCCGCCTCACAGCAACAGCAGCAGCAGCAACAGCAGCAGCAGCAACAACAACAGATGCCCCGGAATAACCAAGAAGAAAAAGAGGAAAAAGAGAAAGATGCAGAGAAGGAAGAAGAGAAGCTAGAATCTGAAAACGACAAAGAAGAACTGACGAAGTAAGTCTCGGAGGAGGGCGCTGGCTTTCCAGGAAAAGAGGCTAGCATCGCATCTGTTTCTCCTCTGGATTTTTGTGACTCATTGAGTGATGCTTTTTGGGGGAAGGGGGCGCGCGAAAGAGTTTATATTTTTTATTAAAGTTTGTAATAAGATCAAACGCAAAGAGAAACAAAAGTCAGGAAAGAGAAAGAAAAACAAAGAGGGAAAAAAGAGCGAGGTTTTTTCTCTTCTGCAGATATTTTGCTCAAATATCCAACTGGGCCTTTCCTCTCTGTCTGTCTGCAACCGATAATACAGTTGGTTTCAGGCCATTTGGGGCGAGGGGAGGAGACAGACCTGCTAAATAAATCCATAAAATGTTACGTTCGTTCTCCTTCCTGACCAACTTGAAAGAGGGCACAGGTGATTTTTTCTCCCCCTTAAACTCAAGGGATGGGTTGAAACAATTCTTATATATACACCATGGATTGGCCTGGCTGCAGTGTTAATGCTGGGGTTCTCCTGCCTGGAAAGTGTATTTTTTTCCCCAACTTTTGCCCATGTTTTAATTTTGTGGAGCCTCTCGTCCCCAAATCTGGCAAAATTAGGCTTGAATTTGGCTTCCTGCAAGGGAGGAATTGATCAGTCACCTTCCCCATCCTTCATCTTTGCCAAGGATGGAGATTAAACACTTGAACATGAGCCAGCCGTGTGTGGCAGCAGCCAAAAAAGCTAATACAATCCTTGCTTGTGTAAACGGGCATAGAATCAAAATCAGGTGGAGTATTAGTACTGCTTTATAAAGCCTTAGTAAGACCACACCTGGAATACTGCATCCAGTTTTGGTCACCACGTTACAAAAAAGATGTTGAGACTTTGAAAAAAAAAGTGCAGAGAAGAGCAACTAAGATGATTAAAAACATATGAAGAATGATGCAGGATTTGGGTATGGCCAGTCTAGAGAAAATAAGGACTGGGGGGGGACGGGACATGATAGCAGTATTCCAGTATTTGAGAGGCTGCCACAAAGAAGAGGGGGGGGGGGAGGTCAATTTATTTTCCAAAGCACCAGAAGGCAAGACAAGAAACAATGGATGGAAACTATTCAATAAAGGAGAAACTTCCTTAACAGTGAGAACAATTAACCAGCTTGCCTCCAGAAGTTGTGGGTGCTTCATCACTGGAGGTTTTAAGAAAAGATTGGACAACCCCTTGTTTGAAATGGTCTAGGGCAGGCAGGGGTCTTCAAACTTGGCCCTTTTATGACTTGTGGACTTGCAACTCCCAGAATTCCTCAGCCAGCGTGCCTGGCTGAGGAATTCTGGGAGTTGAAGTCCACAAGTCATCAAAGGGCCAAGTTTGAAGACCCCTGGTATAGGGTCTCCTGCTTGAGCAGGGGGCTGCACTAGAAGACCTCCAAGGTCCCTTCCAGCTGTGTTCTGGTTCTGATTTTTATTCTCAGAGTGGTCGGTGACAATCCAATGGGCTGGGGGAATTCTGGGAAAGGAAATGAGATCTGGAAACTGAGGAAGACCATCCTAGGGCACAACCTTGACGGGCTTTCCCCACTCAGAGGCATGACTCGGTGAATGTCCGAGTTTGAGGCTTCAGACAACATTGCTTAAGAAAGCCTTTGAGGGGGGCAGCACCCAAGAAAACAAACTTTAATTGAAGCTGCTTGGGACAGCTTTAAGCAGGCCATGTTGGCATCTGGCTGCATATTCAGTGGAGACCCGTTGGGTTCTGCCAGTGGTCTGAGTTTGAGTCTGTCAAAGGGACACGCCTGCTAAACCTCGGTGCAGATTTGATCCAGGACACCTCATGTGTGGTTGCAACGGTGATCTCAAGGTCTTCCTTAAACATGCTGAAGGAAACATGAATACCCTTCCTGCTTCTAACCAGAATAGCAAAATGCTTGTTGGCCATTGAAGGTTGCGAAAAAAATGACTTGGAAAACGCCGTGCCTTTGAGCTAACCAGGAGGGTTTTTAGACTTTGATGGAAGAGTTGACTGTCTTTCTCTAACCGAGATTAAGCCTTGGCTGGAAGGAACACTGGGTTGGGTGGCATTGGTGTTCCTCTGGGAAACTGCCAGCTTGGATGGAAGGCGGAGAGAAGCGAGGGCCCAGCTTGGAGTCCTTGCACACCCCCAAGAGGCCTAAGCTGGACTTCCAAGGTCAACAAAGCCTTATCTGGTCATTGCTGGTGGAAGATAGCAGTCTGGGCAGATTCTTGTGACATAGGCAGAAATCAATAAAGTTGCTTAGTTTTGAACTATTTGCAACAACGACTCTGCACCTGACACCCTCAGCCAGTTCTCTCCTCCTTCCACTTTTTGAAAACTAGAAAAAGCGAAACCGAAGCTAATGGGCTCCTCCCAAAGGTGCTTTTTTCAGGAGGCAACTGGACTTTCTTGTTTTTCTTCTCAAGACATTTCGCTTCTCAGTCATGAAGCTTCTTCAGCTGTGACCGGATGGTGGGGAGTGGAAGGATTTATACTCCTTGCAGATAGCTGATCATTTGCCTTCTTTTGGAGAGTCGTTGAGGCCACTTGGAGGTTTATCTGTGTCCTCAGGGTCACCTGAGTGGTGCAAATGAGGGTGGAGCCTTCTTGGCTACATGAGGTTTTCTGGCCTCACACATTTGCACTAGTCAGGTGATTCCGAGGACACAGAAAACCTCCAAGTGGCCTCAACGACTCCCCAAAAGAAGGCAAATGACCAGCTCTCTGCAAGGAGTATAAGTCCTTCCCTTCCCCACCATCCAGTCAAAGCTGAAGAAGCTTCTTGGATGAGAAGCGAAACGTCTTCAAAGAAAAACAAGAAAGTCCAGTTGCCTCTTGGAAAAAAGCACCTTTGGGACAACCACGACCTGGATGACTGAGAACCTCCGTAGGCAGATTGGCTGCTGGGATGTTCCCACCTTGTCTCTGCTGGGTCTCTCGGCAGCTACAGCGAAGAAACCACAGCGCTCTGCAGAAAACCCAACCTAACCCTCTCTCTTTTGTTCCGGTTCCACCAGGGAGAAGAACGAGGACACGTCAGGCGAGGACAATGATGAGAAGGAAGCCGTCGCCTCCAAAGGGCGCAAGACGGCCAATAGCCAGGGCTGGCGGAAAGGGCGCATCACTCGCTCCATGGCCAACGAGGCCAACCACGAGGAGGTGGCGGTGCCCCAGCAGAATTCTGAGCTAGGTGGGTCTCCGTAGCCCGGATGAATGGATTTAGGGATCGAGAAGGGATTCCCGCTGGTGAAGGGAAGTGGGAACCTCTCAAAGCAAGGGTCGAAAGAATGAGACGTGTGTATAGGTGGTGAATTTGGTAACTTGGTAATTTCCAAAGCACCAGAGGGAAGGACAAGAAACAAGGGTGGGAAACTGATGAAGGAGTGAAGCAACCTGGAATTAAGGAGAAGCTTCCTAAAAGTGAGGACAATTTTGGATGAGGGGATAGATGGGGAACTCATCAAATTTGCAGACGACACCAAGCTGGCAGGAATAGCCAACACTCCAGAAGACAGGCTTAAGATACAGAAGGATCTGGACAGACTTGAACACTGGGCACTATCTAACAAAATGAAATTCAATGGTGAAAAAAGCAAGGTTCTACATTTAGGCAAGAAAAACCAATTGCAC